TGAAAAACGGAGCGCACCTAAAGACAGTGTTGCGAAGTGCGCATACTGAAAACGCGCATTCACACACACAAAACAAGAATTTACTTTTGTTTCGCTAAATTATCACGTGATAGTTTATGAAAAAGAAGGTCAGTAGATAAAATGAGAATAGTGTCATGAGGCAGTTTGTTCTATTGTTGAATAGTACTTGGAAACAAATTAGAATTTAAATAAATTGGTCCTAGCTGTCAACTCTCATTTTCTTGGACTTATCTAGTCTGCGTGATACAAAATTCGGCGGTTCGATGAATTTAGATTCATTCAGCCCAGTTTAATCGTGGTATGTCATATGTAAAACTTCTAAGCGAAGACGGCGTCTTCGCTTAGAACCTAGCTGTTTTCTCTTGCATTTCCTCAATTTTTTGTTCTAAGTTGCGTTCTTTAGGGTCCCAGAGCCCGCAAGTGTATACTAAAATGGGCCTCGCATAAAAATAAAAAAATGCAGGGTGCTTTTTACAGTAGAAGAACAGTCTAAGAAAGTTTTTCCTCAAACACACTAACCCGTGGTTAATTTTAAATGGACAGAGACACCCTCAAAAATTTATTTTTTATTTTTTCCCAGGCGATTTATTTTTTCTGTCAGAAGACTACAAAATCAATATTTTGCTTCAGCGTCACGTATATTTGTGATACAGTCAAAAAACGCAACTGCTCGAATTCGAAACCGAAACTGGATTGCGGAGGAACAAAAAATATAGAGGAGAGAGATACCAAAAGTCACATGGCTGTGCTACTTTTTTTTTCTAGTCGACGTGTTTGCAGTTTTCTAGAAGCCACAAAAAAAAAAAAAAAGAAATGGGTATCATATTTTTGTCTATTGCTAGTATTAAGTATGTGACTTCGATGATTTAGGACTTTGACCCTCTTTGGTGGCTGTGTCTAAACCATAGGAAAAAGCACGTGACCACAGAGAACAGAGTAAGCGCGACTAAAACCGGCCAGTTATCGATCGTCGGTTTTCGGTTGGAAAGAAAACAAATTTCGAGACACAAATTGTGTTCTGGGTAGTTGGGCTCTCATTTGCCATGTACTAATAAAAACCTTGGAGAGCATAAATACTCTTTCGATGATCCTTTAGCTGTCATAAAATATACCTGCACGCTCCAAGATAAATTTGGTGAAAAAACAATCTGTAAAATATTTTACCTTGTCTACCTTTTGTAGTGGAACGTCGTCAATCATACAAGTAAAGGAAACTGGCTGTCGCTTGTGAACGTTATCTGATTACATTTTGGAATATTTAATTTATTTTCCATGTCTCGCACCATCTCGCTAAACAATCAATGTTTCCCTGAAACACCAGACAGTCTGAATCTGACTTTTTGCTGCTGTATAAAATACAGTCGTCCGCATAAAGGCGAAAATTTGACCTAATTTGGCTATAAATTTCATTTATGTGTATTAAAAATAAAGGATGACCTTGTGCCGATCCCTGCGGCAAACATGATGTTGCTTCTAAGGAGACATATACGCAACGCGTTCCTGGTAACGGGTTATATCTATCTAGTTACTTTTCTCAATAACGGGTAACGTATTTAGTTACTTTTTTTTAATTAACGAGTAACGTACTTAGTTACACTTAAAACGAAGTAACGAGTAATAGTATTTAATAACTTTCGAGGAGTAACAGCGTTTAACAGCCTCGTTTAAATTCTAACCTGAGTATGCGTCTAGTGTGACAAAAGCAGATGAGCAACTCGAAAAGAAACTAAACAGTATGACTGAATAGTAAGTTTTTTTTGTTTTTTTTTTTTGTGAACACGTCAGTCAAACTGTACAGCTGGAAATGTCCTCCAGCCAGTGAACATAATGAGGTTCGTCGGGTGAACCTTTTTAAAATTGGATGTGAACCCGGAAGTTTCCAAAAAAGTTTCCAAACTCCACACTTTAGATGCAGAGAGAACACGATAGAGAGAGGGAATCCCAGATTCATTAGCACTTCCTGAAGCACAACACTGCCGTTCCTTCGAGTGCGTCGGTAGAGCAACTCTTCAGCGTCTGCCGGAGATGTACTCTCAAGGAAGTGGCAAAATATAACTGATCAAATCTTTGAGAGGCAGCTACCGCTTAAGTGCAACGACTACTGAAAATAAAGCAATAAAGCATGAAGCCAAAGCAGCTGTGGATTTGGTCCTGAAAGCAACGAGAAAAGTAGCTTGCCACTTTTGAGGTAAAGTAACGCGTTCCTTCTGAGACTCAGTAACGAGTAACGTATATACACTCCGTGCGGGAACTATAGGGGGCGCTTTGAAAAACGCGCGTAGCGCCGCTAGCGGAGGAGCTGGCGTTCGACAGCGAGGCGCGCTCAGCAGCCTGCGGCGCCTTTTCGCGTGCGAAGCTGTGGCGGCGGAAGCGCGCACGGGTGGAACATTTGCTTTTGAAGCCGATAAGTTGAGGATGACGTTGCATGAGTGCTGGGGCAGATTTAAGAAGGGCATTTAGCTGTTTGCCGCTTCTTATATATTAAGTTTGAATCGTCAATAGGGATAATTTCTCTAGTTGCGTACGAAAAAGTGGTTTGGGCAATTTTCCGAAAAGCAAGATGGCCGCCACCATAATTGCTCTCAGTGGGAAATTTGTTTCGCTCGTCGCTGTAAAGTTGGTGGGTCGATGATATTTGGAGGCGAGTGAGATGTTCACTAAACTCGTGCACTAAGTGGGCCAAGTTTTATTAAGACAGCAAGTGTGAAAGTTATGGTTCGAACGAATGAAGTAATAAAGCTGTCAGGAATATCCCATAATGGACCGAAAATGTTGTGTTATAACCGGGCTGTGCGAAGTGCAGATTTAGACACGCAGGTTCTTGGACATGACCGTAACTTGACACAACAGTTATAATAGCAAAAATAGGTGGCATAGGGAAACCAGGTGGAAATTTAGTTTGGGCGGCGTAACTGAATGGGAAACGGTTTTGACTGTGAAAAGGCTGTCAAGAGAATACCACTTGTCGTGGGAGATGGAGACTTTACAGGTAGGAAGGGACTAGTGCACTGTACTTCCACTTGAAACAACTTTACGGAAGGTGGCTTCCAAACCGAGAAAACCAAGTTGCCGGCCAACACACGGTTTGGCCGTCAAAGGCTTTTACGGTGAGCTGTTATGTAGTAATCTGGTTGTGCGAGGTGCTGATTTTCGGCACACAGGTACTTGGACAACCGTAACTTGACAAAACACTTATTATACCTAAAAGAGATGGCATACTTTAACCAGGTGGAAATATTTTTGGCCGGCGTAACTAAATGGAAACCGTTTTTGACCGTCAAATGCTGCCAAGAGAATACCACTCATCGTGGCTGGAAGGTACACACTTTACAGGTAGGAAGGGACCAGTGAACGGTACTTCCAGTTCGAACAACTTTGCGATAGGTGGCTCTAAAGCCGAGAAAAAAAATTGTTGTCTTCAAGACTGGGGGTGTCAGCGTTTCCACATCCAAAAGGAGGCTGATCAAAAAAGAAAGCACACCATATAAACTTTCATTGTCCAACATCGATTGTCCAGAGATTCCAAGTTTCATTGTAGTTTTCCTAAGATTCATATTTGTCACTTTTTGTACCGTTCGAATCTTTCTTCATGAAGTACAGACTGCGTGCCATACTGGTCCGGAAATATCATCGACACGTACGATGGGGACGAAACTTCTTTCGAGGGCATTCCTTCAACGAAATTCGCACCTCATACCCACGAGTGTGGAATGGCATTTCAGTTCGAGCTGAGATATGTTGGCGTTACTGGTACGAAGACAAACGCAGAGCGCAAAGCGGCAGTGTAGAATATGTCAGGAGTGCCGACATAGTGGCAGACATGATCGGGAGACCAAATTTCTCGCGTCGTACGGCATGGGTCCATCGCGGTCGCTGTCCCACAAAACGTCGTCGATGTGAAAAACTGTGAAACTTCGTCCCCACGAGATACGACGCATTACTATTGGAGCACTTAACGACAGCAGTTCATGCTGTCAACCCAGCGCAACTGCAACGCTCCGACTTCAATGCGTACCAACGTACGCGGCGCGGTTTCGTTTCGGTGGGGCTCTCACTGCCTACCTTCGGTAACGGCCGCGCGGCGGCGCGCCGGTCGCGTCGCACGGAGTGTATACTTCCTTTTTAAGCGAGTAACGAGTAGCAATGTTTTGTTACATTTTTGAGGGAACGCGTATATGTCTGCAACCTAACACGAGGCACTGCCTCAAGAGTTGGGTTCCGGCCAACGCCCCCTATATAGCTAGGCGCAGGATTTTACGTGTTACGTACAAGAGACACGCGCGATGTGTCGGCGTTCGGCTGGGATTCGTGTCCTGACCGAGAGGACACCCGAACTTTGACAAGGCACACCGTTTGCTCGCATCCTCTGACTGACATGGAAAAGTGAGCGTTACGGCCTTCGGTCTACGTTGCCTGTACTCGACCGGTGCGGAGATCAGACTCTTTCGAGAACCGAAAGACGCTCTTTAAAGCTCGCGTTGTGATGTCATCCAGCGAGAAGAATTTCATCGCAAAGCTATGGATTGGAGACTTTGACGAGCGTGTTGGGACAGATGTAACAGTAAGAAAGCACAAAACAAACAGAGGGACAAAAACAGACATGTACAAGCTTTCAGTTTACAACAACAAATATATTTGACGCCAGCGAAGTCTGCACCAACAACCGTCGGTGGGGAAAGGGGGAACGAGCAAGAGGGAGAAAAGAAGGGAGAGAAGGTTGAGAGGGAAGAAAAGGGGGGAGGGAAGGGAAGATAGCGTTTCCGCATACGAAGCTGATTGACGGCCGAAGGCCGAGGGGGGGTCTAGTTGTTCAAGGTTGTGCAATTGGAGTCCGAGAAAACGCCGGCCTCAGAAACACCAGTTCTGGTTTTGTCAACGAGAGGGATGGGGAAGCAATGTTATTCTTGGTGGTAGTCATCCTATAAGCTTCAATTATCTCCCTCCCATAGCGCTCCCGGTGTCCCCCAACTACTTTGGTCTCGTTGGTCACTTCGTTGATCACCTCTGCACGCAGCAGGTCGTGCAGTCACCACTTAACCTCGAGTGTGAAAACACAATTTAACCGCCTTCTCAAGGCAGGGTACCCGATGGACCTTCTCAGTTCTGTCACGCAGAGGCTCATCGTAAATCGAACTCCCCGCACCTCACGGGCTGCTCCGGGCGGGAGGATCGCCTGCATTCCCTACATGCATAACGTGGCGCACCGCGTCAAGTCTCTCGCGTCCCGCTTTGGCACCAAGGTCATTTTCAAATGCAGGTTCAAACTGGGTTCCATGTGCAAACTGGTTAACAACGCCAGTTCCCCCCCAGCATGTGCAAAAAAACACGGCTCTCAATTCGTTCGATGCGCAAAAGAAAAAGTCTACTCGATTCCTTTGACCTGCGGTGCGGAATATATCGGCCAAACAGGCCGATGCATAAATGATCGCCTCCGAGAACACCACATTGAATGCGCGTCACAGCCAGAGGGGTCATTGCATCCTATTATAGTTCACGGTAAGGAGTGCCAGGCATGCACGCCTTTGTTCAACGAGACCAAAGTAGTTGGGGGACACCGGGAGCGCTATGGGAGGGAGATAATTGAAGCTTATAGGATGACTACCACCAAGAAAAACATTGCTTCCCCATCCCTCTCGTTGACAAAACCAGAACTGGTGTTTCTGAGGCCGGCGTTTTCTCGGACAACCTTGAACAACTAGACCCCCCCTCGGCCTTCGGCCGTCAATCAGCTTCGTATGCGGAAACGCTATCTTCCCTTCCCTCCCCCCCTTTTCTTCCCTCTCAACCTTCTCTCCCTTCTTTTCTCCCTCTTGCTCGTTCCCCCTTTCCCCACCGACGGTTGTTGGTGCAGACTTCGCTGGCGTCAAATATGTTTGTTGTTGTAAACTGAAAGCTTGTACATGTCTGTTTTTGTCCCTCTGTTTGTTTTGCGCTTTCTTACTGTTACTATGGATTGGCTTCTCTAAAATCCAGGAAACGCGGGGTGTCGCGAACGCATCGAATTATCGCAGCTATTCTGATTGTTGCATGAGCCAATAAGAATTTCAAAACGAACAATTACGAAACGACAAGCGTTAACAAAAGAAGCTAGGCGTTTATTAAGCTGTAAGGTAATATAAAGACTTATCGCCTTCTGCAGAAAACGAAACTAAGGAAGAAGAAAAGAGTAAGCCGTCAATCAACACCTCCTATATAACAACTGACCGCAGTGCTGGATTTACTACGTCAGCTACTGGAGGCCAGCGCTGGGCACGAACGCGAGTATACTGGGTTAGCCTTCGGTTGAGATTCGCGTCTCCACTGATTGGGCACGAATCTCAGCCGAGAGCTGACGTCACACTCGTGACCAATCCGTGCCCGGCGCTGGCCCCCTGTAGCTGACGTGGTACACACATCACTGAAACCTCTTGATCGCACACACGAAACCAGCACCATGTGACATGGCGCCTGCTGAATTCAGCAGAAGCAGAATACGCAATTGTTTTTTTTTTCTACTTTTTAATAATAGATCACATCAGCGCCCTATTAGACGTGTGCGACAAACAGTAGCGCCGACACAGTGCTGCTTCTAGCGGAAGCATTTCGCATTTAGCACGACCGGACCGGCATAACCATCCAGTGTAGCAGCCAGCCTTGGTTTGTAATTAATGTCAGCTTACCTGAACAGAGCGCTATACAAAACTTACGGGGCCATACGCGGTGCTAACTTTTCCTCTTTTTTTTTTGTTTTTAACGAGATTTGGAAAGTGAGGAAACATATCCCCTTCATGTACCGGCGAAAACCGCCGCGATCATCTCACCCCCATAACGTCTCTTCGACTCCCCGGCGAGCGAAGAGCAATCTCGTAATAAAATAAGAGAAAAATGCTTCTGATGTAGATTGTATCAGGGTGGTTTCATTTGAAATCGAACACGCTTGTCGGGGTGGGTCTTTCAATTTTTTTTTAAATATATGTAATTGCTCCATTTCTGGAAAGAATAAAACCGCTTTTCAAAATTAAAAATATATATATATATATATTTCGCTTTACAAGAAATTATTGAGTGGAGCAGGGTGAAAATCTGTTTTTTACTCCGTGATTTTTCTACCCAGTTCTGGACGCTGGTATGAATACGGGAAGCATACAAAACTCACAGTAATTTTTTGTGCTCTTGTATGTTATTTGGACTATTTTTTAGTTTAAAAGAAAATACTTTTGTAGTTTTGATTATTGAGGTAAAAAATGCCAAACATCGTTTCTTCGACGATCTGGTGACATCTTCAGAGACTTGTAACTCATGAGTTATTATATTTGTCACTTATTAAATACTATGCGGGTGTAGCCCTATACATGGGATATCGACGGGCATAATTTTTGTTTATTTTATTTTCACTGAGGTTTTTATATAAACTTTGAAATATCGTCGAAAATGAAATTTACCCATATTTTGAACTCACTTTATCAAAAAATGTCATTTTTTATGTCGTTAAAGTTTTTTAGTATTGCTGCCGATCATATGAACTTTCAATTGGCTTGGTGTGATTTCCCCCTTTTCTTGTTGTATCTTCTCTAGAAGTGATCGAAATCGCTCCCACGTGACAATGCGGTGACAACTTCAGAGCCTTGTAACTCATGAGTTATTATAATTGTCGCTTACCAAATACTATGCGGGTGTAGCCCTATACATGGAATATCGACGGGCATAAGTTTAGTCTATTTAAAATTCACTGAATTTTTTATATAAGATTTGAAATATCGTCGAAAATGAAATTAATTGATATTTTGAACCCACTTTATCCAAAAAGACCATTTATTATTTCGTTCAATTTTTTTATTATTGCTGCCGATCATGTGAACTTTCGATTGTCTTGATGCGATTTTCCCCTTTTCTTGTTGTATCTTCTCAAGAAGTGATCGAAATCGCGCCCACGTTCTCTGAACGACCGAACGCAGTTTCCGCAGGTCGGCTTCGCTGCAAAGACTATACTGCTTATTTGTGTGTTCAAATGCAGCGGGTAAATTCATTTCGATTGAGAACACTTGTGCTTGGCTACATTGTATTTTATTAATTTTTAATGATGGCAACTGACATTCCTTAGTCTCATATTTAGCGGTGCAGCGGATGTTCCATTATCCGATGTTTAAAGCCAGGGCACAAAGGGTGGAGAAAACGGAACGAGCTCTTCATGTAGCCAGACCGGGGTCATATACCTATACAATCTTTGCATTCAGCTCGGTGCCACAAAGTGGAGAAACTAAAAGTCTACAGAGACACTAAGTGACTGCTTTCGCTGCCTTCTGTGCACGTGGGAATCCTTGCTCCTTGGCATCAGAGATATCGATCAGTCTTGAACAAAACCCAACCCTTTTACTTATAACTGCACACACTCGTTCAAACAGAAGGGCCACCGTCTCAGGTTCTCGCTTTGGCTCCAGTTTTCGTTCTGTCCGTCTGGACTTACCACGCGTTGAACTTCTCGGGTGCATCCCGACCGCTACGGTACAAAGTTCAGCTGGCCCCCACGCTCGATCGTCTCCACAGGCAAGCCGATGCCGTTGTTAAAAAGTTCCAATATTGCGTTTCTCGTGAACTGAACTATTTAAAGAACGACAACATATTGTGTTACAGGTGCATCCTAAATATATTAGCGTTAATTAATCAAAGTGACTATTTATCGCCAATTGGTGTTTGTGTTCTGTAAAAAATTGTCTTCGCTTCATGTAAACTCAGTCCGTTTTCCTCACTTTTTTTCTGCAAACTGCTTTTTCTTCTTAAAGAGGGGCATGTGATATTACATATTTTTCATAAACACGCTGTCAATAAAGAACAGGCGATTACATGGTTATTTCATCGCACGCGACAAGACACATCATGGATTGGCGCCCGTGTCGGATGCTTCCTGGGTGTAACGAAGATCGGCCTATAGCGCGAAGGGCCGGGCGTGCTGTACGTGCCTTACAACCTGTGTATAGCACAAAGATATATGACCCCGGTCTGGCTACATGAAGAGCTCGTTCCGTTTTCTCCGCCCTTTGTGCCCTGGTTTTAAACATCGGATAATGGAACATCCGCTGCACCGCTAAATATCAGAGTAAGGAATGTCAGTTGCCATCATTAAAAATTAATAAAATAGAATGTAGCCAAGAACGAGTGTTCTCAATCGAAATGAATTTACCCGCTGCATTTGAACACACAAATAAGCAGTATAGTCTTTGCAGCGAAGCCGACCTGCGGAAACTGCGTTTGGCTGTTCTGAGAACGTGGGAGCGATTTCGATCACTTCTACAGAGGATACAACAAAAAAAGGGGGAAATCGCATAAAGAAAATTGAAATTTCATATGATCGGCAGCAATAATAAAAAAAAAAAAAAGTTGAGCGAAATAATAAATGGCCTTTTTCGATAAAGTGGGTTCAAAATATCGGTTAATTTCATTTTCGACGATATTTCAAATTTTATATAAACAAATTAGGTCAAATAAAATAAACTAAACTTATGCCCGTCGATATTCCATGTGTAGGGCTACACTCGCATGGTATTTGGTAAGCGACAAATATAATAACTCATGAGTTACAAGGCTCTGAAGTTGTCACCGCATTGTCTCGTCGGAGTGATTTCGATAACTTCTAGAGAAGATACAACAAAAAAAGGGGAAAATCACATCAAGCCAATTGAAAGTTAATATGATCGGCAGCAGTAATAAAAAAATTGAACGAAATAAAAAATGGCCTTTATTGATAAAGTGAGTTCAAAATATCGGTTAATTTCATTTTTGACGATATTTCACATTTTATATAAAAAGTTCAGTGAAAATAAAATAAAAAAAACTTATGCCCGTCGATAGCCCATGTATAGGGCTACACCCGTCTAGTATTTAATAAGTTACAAATATAATAACTCATGAGTTACAAGGCTCTGAAGATGTCACCGGATTGTCAAAGAGACGATGTTCGGCATTTTTTACCTCTATAATCAAAACTACAAAAGTATTTTCCTTTGGACTAAAACATAGTCCAAATAACATACAAGAGCACGAAAAATTACTGTGAGGGTTGTATGCTTGCCGTATTCATACCAGCGTACAGAACTGTGTAGAAAAATCACAGAGTAAAAACCAGATTATCACCCTGCTCCACTCAATAATTTTTTGTGAAGCGAAATATTTTTTTTTTTTTAAATTTTGGAAAGCGGTTTTGTTCTTTCTATAAATGGGGCGATTACATATATTTTAAAAAAATCAAAAGACCCACCCCGACAAGCGTGTTCGATTTCAAATGAAACCACCCATCAATTACTGGCAGTGGTGAATGTCGTGATTTCCGAACCAACGAGCACATTAACGCGTTGTAGGGCCATATTTCAGCTCCGATAAACGAAAAAAATATGACAATGTGTTGCCGTCGTTGCCGCTTATGATGGCGGGGGCCACGATTCTATTCGAGCTTCGAGCAACTCCTGCCGGTTCAGTGACATGAAAACGCATACAGAGCAAACACTGGACGCGAGCATGTTCTGAATATGAAGGTGCCAGACCTTTACTGCGCAGCCAGGTCGAGTTATACGGCCGTGGG